CAAGGAACTGGGATGAGCAAAGCGCAGTAATGTCAATTGTGATCGTGCTCCTACAGGGCCTTTCATCCCCAAAAGCTGCATAATTATCAATAAAGCAGGCCTTATGGTGCCCCTTCGACATAGGTTAATACTGTCGACCAATTTTATAAGAAATTGATATGAACAAAGGGGAAATTACTTGTCCATACAAACAGTAATGAAGAAGGAATAGTGTCGGAGGTATTGTAACCTCCAACCCCTGACTCCAAAACTACCAGGCTGTTACAGCCCTGGGCAGAAGTGCCCTGTATGCCATGCTTGGGAGGATCCTGCCCGCTTTCACAAATCAGTCGTTAATGGTATCTCTAGTGTAAATGGTGTGTTGAGATTCATCTGTTAACATATTTCTTTTGTTGGCATTATACATCTTTTCTTTAAACAAGCAAAATCCAGACCTACTTGTAAATATTCCTAGTAATGCTTCAGTTGTTTATAGTAAGAACTGGAAGGAAAAGGCAAAAAAAAAAAAAAAAAGTGTAGCTTCCAGGCAATAGACAGTAGAAATGTCAGAGCTTATACAACCTTGCTGTGTCAGGAAAACTCACAGTCACTGAAAGGTAGAAGAACTAAATACCATTAGAAAGAAAAAAATTTTTTTTTTTTTAAAAAAGACACAAAACATCTAATAACTTCTGTGAAATGGGGCATCTTTTGAGTTTCTGACCTGGAGCCTTCCTGGGGTCTGAAAAAAAAAAAAAAAATCACATCTGGTTAATTTTAGCAAGTGTCTGTGGTGGGGCTGATTTGACTGGAGGGAGGATGGAACTGCTAGTAAAACAGAAGGCTGGGGTTCATCGAGTTACGCTGGCGTTTAGGGTGGCTCAGCTGCTATTCAGTACAGAAACAAGGATTTTTATTTAATTGGGTTTGGGTTGGGTTTTTTGGTTGTCTTTTTTTTTTTTTTCCCCCTTAAGCAAATTCTTCTTAAAACTGTCATCACTCTGGCTCTGAGCATTTTCCCCCCTTGGCAGGAAACAATTTAATCTCTCATAACCAGAAAGTTCCTTATCTTCTCTTGACATGCTGGAGAGTTCACAAGCTTCTGTCATACCATCCCTTCCTCTCCTGAAAATGATGGCATGTGGCAGCTAACTTACTCTGAGAACAAGCCCAAAGTCTCTGTTCGTGAATACTCACATTGCACCTAATGCCAAAATAACAGCTTTTACTTACCTACATCTACAGTTACTAGATGCCGGGTTGGATGACTGCTGCTCAGGACCTCTGTCCCTTGTTTGTGGAGGTCGCAACTTTTCAGATCAGGTTATACATTAACTGGGGTATGTGCTGTCCTTGCGAACGGATGCACATCCGCAGTATTAATAACTATAATTAAGAGCAGTTTCATAAAGGCATAGCTCAGCAAAAAGAAATTGCCTTTTTTTTTTTTTTTTGAGGAATGAGGTTGCATCAGGATTTGTGCAAATCACTTCTTTAACAGCCCAAGTATGTGTTTGACCATCTGCATTTTTCAAATAGGGAAAACTAAACATAAATCAACTGTGATTAATGAAGGAAAAATACCAAAATTCTTACTGGAACATGATGATTGTTCTGATTGTCAATAGAAAATAGTTTGGAAAAAGGGCTTAAAGCTAAGTTTTAGTTAGCCTTTTTTAAAATTTTGCTTATGGCTCAGTGATGTTAGAATAATAATGTAATGAAAATGAATGTAATTACACCTTTGGTTTTTGGAAAACAAGTAACAATATGGCAACCGGTTCATGGATTCAGTAGGTTCACCTGATCACGTAGGAGATTAGGTCACACTAAGTAAAAGACTAATGCTACAAAATTGTAACAAAATTGAGAGTTCAAATGCAAGTGAACATTGAGGACCAAGATAATTGGCCTTGTAGCTTCTCCTTATAAAAACAAAGGTTTGTTTGCCTTTCAAATGGGCCAGTAAAATTGAGTTGGCACCCTACAGTGCATGCGGAATAGATAGTCAAGAAGCATCAGCTATAAGAAATAAGCAGACGAGCTTAAGAGATTAAGATTTTTTAAAACTAATAGAAGACAGATAGTCTGTGGAAGTGCTAAATCTTAAAGATCTGCAGTGATTACAAACTTGAATCAGGGGAAATAAGACTGGACAGGGGGGTGCACTTGCTAGAAGATATTGTTGGTGATCCTCCAGAGCTTCTAGGACAAAAAGTTGCAAGTATCTGAAAGGCCAAATCGGAAGCTCTTACCTGTGCTGGGATGTTCCATGCAAGCAGCAGCTCCATGTTGGCCATTAGGTATCGTTTGGAGAAGGTCCTGCTTACGGTCAGACTCTTCTCAGACTCTCACAAATTGAGAATGGGCTCTTTGCATAAATGAGCACAATCTGCTATGAAAATAGATACACCTTAATTCAGTGTTTTAAAATAGCTGTGCAACACAGAATTTTGTCCAAAGGACAAAAACCTTGAACTGTTTTCCAGCTGCTGACTGCAGTGCCTAGGTGCCATATCTCTAAGAACAAGAAAGAGCACAAACCAGAGCACATCTCAGCTGGTTCCCAGCACACTGCGGAGGAACTGGTCCACGCTGGAACCAGTTGCTGCTGGTTACCTCTAGCACTACACCTATTCTCTCTGCTGACTCTACGGGATGTAGGAACTAGCAGTCCTAATAAGAGCTAATCTGTATTCTTCATTATAGCCGTACACTTGGATAGCATGGTGGGCTTTCTGAGCTCCCTTGTGACTCTCTTTTCGGACACTATGTCCCTGTAAATCTGAGAGATTTCAGTGGAGTCACAGTTCAAAAGTATTCCTGGGCCTTATACCTGATAAGAAATAACGGGTGAACCCCTGATCATTTGAAGTACTCGGCGTTCTAGGGTCAGGAAGCATCTGAGAATATGTTTTGTTTGCATTGCAGGAAGGGATGTTTACTGGAATACTTGCTCTTATCTGCTTTCTCTGCAGTACAGAATTGACATTTAAAACTAGTAAACTAGGCCATTAATAAATATGTAAAAGAAGCCTGATCTGTGAGGTACTGACTCAGCATATGTGAGGACACCCAGCTCTGCTAGCCCCACTTCAGTGATTATTCCCATGGAAGTGGAGGGCTTACACACCACTGAAATGATTAGGAGACTGCCAGACTTGCTAATGTAGTCTTTATTTTTCTCTTTTTTCCACCTGTAAGTTAGTTACTTCAGCAGATAATTTTTATGGTAGCTTTTCTCCTTTATGTCCTGCTGGTATATAGTTTAACAAAATGCCTTCTGAAACAGTGTATTTGATTCCTCAGTCATGCCTCTGGGAACAAATTCTTGCAGTATTATAACTTCTTTTATATCTTTTCTTTACTGTGGCAAACTTTGTTTTCAGAAATCACTACTTCTTAAACTCTCTGTGCCTCCTGTGTATCTCTTTTCCGTCTACACAGTCTGTTCTTCGCTGCTGGTATCCACAACCGGTTGTGTCCTGTTGCAGTGGCTTAAACACTTAAAGAAATTCCTTAATAGCATTTCTATTTTTGCATCTGGAGCTCCAGGAAGAAAACTGAATTTTTATACCTGACTACCTATTTGAGGTGTTATCCATGATGCTGTGTCAGTGAGCGGATATTGTGGAGAATCCTTTTTAAAACTACTTTAACAGGCTTTAGTGATTCCGAATGGTAGCATTTATCGTAGGAAATGTTTTGTGATGGTACTTTTGGAAGTAACGATGCTGTATATTTCTGTGTAGAAGTCATGTCGTCTTTACCGGTAATTACTTCCCCTTACTTTTTGCAAAGTTAAATATGCAGCATTTTGGCAAAAGTGGTTAATGGGGCTAGTTGAAAATTGTTGTTAAATCCAGTTCTTGACAAGTGAAATTGTTAACGTTGAATGAACATTTTTCCGGGAAACTTATTTTCATTACAAATGGGACTTGCTCATCTCAGTCCAGAAATGTTTTGAAGTGCTGCTATGCTGTAGTGTATTTCAGTTGTACAATCTTTATTATGGACCAGAATCTCGCATATCGGGCTCCCTTGCTATCTCTGATGCAGTCTCCCTCCATGGAAAGAACCCAGGGTCATAAGAAATCTGCTCTATTCCTACAGAGTTGAACAACAAAGAAACTGTTTTCCTTGCAACTGTCATGAAGTTGACCACATTTATAAATGAGATACTTTAATTTTTGTCCACAGCGGTCATTGTTCAATCCCTGTAGTATGGGAAATGAAGTGTTTCCCCAGGTAAGTACATGATTGACTGCATTTTGATTTTTTTCTGGTACTGGGCAAGTTCCTCAGGCCACCAGAATGGCTAATGACTAAAAGTCTCCAGGTTGAGGAATATCAACTTCCATCCCACGTAGCAATAATATGTGTTCCTCATTTGTGTGTCATTAGAGCCATACGCTTTCCAACCTGCTTCTGAAAGATTTGGAATCTTTAAGATTCCGAAGTTAAGTTAAGAATCCACCATAACTTCAGCTCAATTAAGAATCCACCGTAATTTCTCATTGAAAAAGAGCACACCTGGGCTTCATGCAGAGATTTCAGAGTTGTGGACGATAAAGGAATAAAACATCCAGATTTCTTTGAATTGGATCTGAATCAATATCCCTGTGGGATACCAGGGAAAACTATATCTTAACATTTTGACTTTTAGGCAGACCTGACATTTGTTATGCAGCTGCTAACAGAGCTCTCAAGGGAGGGAAGGTATTTTACAGACAAGCAATGTAATCCCATGTTTGTTTTTAAAGAATATGGAGAGATTAGTGGATTATAATGTTATAGCAGGACAAATTGCAATCAAAAACATACTCTGGCCAGTTTAATTGTGACAAAGTCGGTACAACTCACAGCTACGCTGAAATTAGTATATATTATCTTATGAATTCATTCCATCTACAGCATCATACAAAATAATTTCAGCATTGTTCAGAAGGCTTCCTTCAATTATACTTTGAAAGTTTGTTTGCATGCATTATGTCAGATTTTAACACTCCTGTCTTTGTTAGTCTGTTCACAGTTTTCCAGAGGAGTTTATGCCATTTTTGGATTCTATGACCAGATGTCAATGAACACACTGACGTCATTTTGTGGAGCCCTTCACACATCCTTCATCACACCCAGCTTCCCAACTGATGCAGATGTGCAGTTTGTCATCCAGATGCGGCCAGCATTAAAAGGAGCCATCTTGAGTCTCTTGACCCATTATAAGTGGGAAAAATTTGTGTACCTCTATGACACAGAACGGGGTAAGCACCATCATTTTAAGTGTTTTTTCTGTTTCATAACTTGCTATAAGTATTACCAGAATCAGTATGTGCCACCCATCCCAATTTTCTTCTGGATGCAGGCAGCATATTCTGATGGTCCTAGAAAATAAGTTTATTCTGAAGAAATGAAAATTAATGGATAAATAAAAAGAAGGCATCTTCATATTACTGATCATTTGTAAAGCGATTGTCTGGAGGATAGTGTTAGCAGCGTAAGCATTCAATTTGTAATACCTGGTTTCCGTGGAGCCACAGACTCAACACTTGCCAGGGCTTTTGAGTCCTTGCAAAATAAAGTAAGTTGACACTATGAAATAGGCTGTCAAGCAAGACCTTCCACTGAGCGTGACATTGCAAATCCCACACCACTTTACATAAATGCACATTTCTCCTGTCACTGGACAAAGACAATTCATGATAAGATACACTCTGGAGATGTCTAGGCATCAGTAACGATCTAAGAATATGGTGCATAAGATGCTTTAGGCCTCTGCTGGAGAAAAGATGGTCTAGATATGTCACATGGATATCCAGAGATTAATTTAGATATATGACAAGAATGACCAGAGGTATGTTTTACTAAATGAAAAACATTAAAACCAGTGTTTCCATGCTTAAGCCCATTGTTAACTACTAAGAAGTGCCAAAGGTAGCAAATCCTGTCAAAAAGAGATCTAAGCATCAGAAACCATTTTCTGTGAGGAATCCTGCATATTTGTGTGGAGCAGCTGTTGCCACCTGCTCTGAGTGTACAGAATTTGCTTGGTTACAGATTTCACCTCGGTAGCGTTTTTTGCCTCAAATAGATCTGCCACTGCCCTTCTCACCAGCTTTATGATTAATAACTCCAAGACCCCCTTCAGATCAGAGGGGTCTGGGTAGAGCCAAAGAAACTTAGATTCCATTCCTTGGCTCCCATGGTAAAGTTCTGATACCCTAGGCTACTGCATATTGGTAAAGATCAAGTCTTCAGCGGCTGTGCTTTTCACGCTGAAGATCAATAGCACCACCCAACTAAGGACACACTGTATGTTGAAAATCGGTCATTTTTAATCTGAGTTTAGGTGAATGCCAAGAGTTCAGAATTTTCTGAGTTGTTAAATATTGCTAGCATTGAAAAACACTAGCTATGAGATCAAGTAGGAAAGTATCGAGAAATTAAGAATGCCATTAGTTTTTAAATCTTCTCAAACCACTACACAAACATCCATATTTCTGGTTTAGTCCACTTGGAAATGAAAGCTCACATGAATATGCCATTTGTCTGAATAAGAAAGGTTTGATGTGACCAAATGTGATAAACTTACAGCACGTGACAAAATAAAATGTCACATATTCCAGGACTGATGAAACTTATCATGATTAAAGCTAATAAAGTTTGCTTTGGAAAGAGATACATCAGTCATTGAAGGTCATACCTAATAAGAAATTTGACACTTCAGACTGGAAGAATCATCCAAAACAGTGGGAGTTTCACTGGAACTTGTCTAGATGATATGACTATCAGACTAACTGAGATAGTAATGGAAGTCATGAGGGAAGACTTGCAGACTCAGACTTGCATTTTCCTACATTTCTCAGTGTGTACAATCTTTAGGTAGACACAGTCTAATCATGAGCTTATTATGATGACTAATCCCTTTGGAACAGTTTAGGTTGTGTCGAGGCTTCATTTTGCCTTGTTCATACCAAGATTTTAATCACAGGTTAAAACACAGCTCTTGCTGGCAAAATTAGCCCCAGGAATCTGACTTTACCTCCGTTGCCTTCTGCCCCTTGTCTTGACTTCCCATTCACATCCTACTCACAATCTTACAATTGCTAATCAAAATCACGTTGCGAACCTACTGTGGCTCACATGCATGTTATGTTAGCCATATGTTACGTCAGACATTCAGAGTAAGTGTCAAAGTGTGAAGTCTGTGTTAGATAACAGCACAAGTGACTGTAGGACTATAAAATGTAGCTTAGGTTTAGAAGACAACTAAGGACACCTCTGTCTTTAGGATGGTAGAGGCATCAGTGCATATAGGTAGCTTGATGATGGGCTTTGAGTTGTTTCGGATAAACTTAGCACATCTTATCTTTCCTTCCTATATATATATTTCCTCATTGCTGCTGTTTTGGTAACATATTTGCATCTGCTAAAACAGGAACAAAAATGAACAGTTGATTATCTTCCGTTACTGCTGGTTTAGTCAGGTTAAAACAAACTTGGTAGCAGTCTTGTCAAAGTTGTAATTGCTGTATTCTTCCAGCATTAAAACAAATTAAGAAGATTCATATAGGATGGAGGGGCAGAGCAATTAGGTACAAAGAAACAGACATTAGATTCCTTTGTTTGAGCAGTAATCGTGGATGACAGCACCTGAAACAGTTGGCAGTTCCAGTAGGCTGCCTAATTTCTTGTGATAGGCCTTCAAATTAAAAAAACCCCACACCATTCCAAGAGGCTGAACTATGAATGATAATGGTGAATGACTCCTTCTGTCGGGTAGCAAATAGGGTGTACATGTTCCTGTGCTGAGGTACCATTGGCAATGAAAACACTAGAACCATCACAATTTTTAATAAGTCCTATCTTAGATACTTAATGGCTTTGGGGCACAAACCCTGTAGAGAGAAGGTGGTGAGCAGTTTACTGTCAGTTCCTGAAATAAACTATCATGTAAATACTGCACATGAAGATTATTATCTCACTGGTTTGTTCTGAGAATCGGAGAAACCGCAAAACATTGGATTATTCTTTCTTACGTTGCATATTAGTTATGGACTAAATTGTTCTTGCAAGCAGTTGTACAGTGTTCTGCTGTAGCAAAACACTGCCATGTATTAAACATTACATTTACTATTAATAAATAGCACAGCATATTACAGATGCCGTACAAAACGGGATAAACCTTCCTGTGGCTTTATACTGCTTATTGAACTATTTCAGTTTAAGCTTAGGAGAATGGAGAATCAGCTTTATAAAATTGTTTTCCTTAAGCAGTGTCTTTTTTTCTTCTTTGCCATCAGATCATATAACAATATGGTTATCCCTTTGATGATGTTAGGCACAATAATGTGATGTTTTGGTTCCTGCAATGAAGACAAAAGATAAATCTCAAACAATAGAATAAAGTTAAGATCTACAATTACATACGTAGGTGGTAAAACTTTTAATCCAGTGAGATAATGTGTACGTTGTATATGTTTATATTTGCAAGTACATTATTTTCTGTTGCTGTATGATGACTGAATGTTGCAGATTGTGCTCTCAAATACATATTTATGTGCAGGTGCAAAATTCAGTTTCTTAAAAACTGCTAAAACACACAAAGAAAAACAAAATAAGCACACAGAAAGAAAAATAAAATGTGAGATTTATGAATTCCAGAAGCAAGAATTATGTCTTGTTGTTGCTTATTTCAATTGTTGGACTTATTCTGTGAAGAAACTGAAATTTAAGAGAAATATCAAATTCTTCTCCTAGTACCTGCAGAAAAAACATTCTACTTTGCAGAGAGTAATGATGCATTGCTAAGGGAAGAAAGGGTGTTAAGCTGAGTATAGAAGAAATAGTCATATGTTCATTCCATGCCACATGCTTTTAGTTCATGTGAAAGGGAAAGGCAGGTTGATTTCTGTTTGTATTAACTCACATCAGTAAGTTGACACTGTTGGTTGCTGTGATGCGTGCAAAATATCTGATTAATTATATGGTGCTAACTGCCTCAGTAGGCTTCTCTGCAGCAGAACTAAGACTAATTAAGATTATGTCAGGATGAAATGAGATGGGGTTACATACAGAAAGCTATTAAGAATTTAGGTAGCACGTGTCAGGAAAGTCATCTTTTGCATCTCATGCTGAGGATTATGCTTCATCAACACCCTCAGGTTTATTTCCAGTCTTCAGGTCTGTCTCTCCTCTTGCTTTGGTTTACTGTAAATCAGATGTTACTCCACTGAAGTCAGTGGACTGGAGTAACACTAGTATGAATGTGTGGAGAGGTAAGCTTGTGGTTTTCATAATCATTTTAATGTTGTGTGAAAGTGTGAAGCACTTCTCATTTAATTATAAAAATGCTATGGTAGATTGCAATACCAAAGCTTTTGTTTATTTCAATTTCCATGATGTTTCTTAAGTAACATTTCAGTTTATTTTTGCCTGAGAAACACTGTTTTGTACAGATTGTTCACTTTCCATCTATGAGTACAACACAGTCATTTTGTTCTAAGTTACTTGGAGTTGTCATATGTACTGTGCACAAAAACATTGATTTTTGTCACGCAGATCATTTAAACAAAATCACACCGAGCGATTTCTGTGATGTGCATCAGTCGTCTTCCTCTTTCTTCAGATCATAGGAGTCATCACAGGACCAGAAAGTGACTTTGTGTAATGCATACCTACACAATGGGAGCTCGGTGTAGACGGAGGTAGAGATAGATCATAGTCTTTATGGCATTGTAACCAAATACCTCTCTAAATCTAAAATTCTTCCATTATTTGGTTTTGATTTAGTCTGTCAGCAGGTATGTAGCGATACCTAAAATCAAGGGCCGGGGCAGGGCGGGGAAAGGGGGCAGCTTTGGTAAATAGGGTTGTTGTTGGCTAATTTTTTTTTTTTTTTTAAATTGGTTAACACTGGCTAGATGAAGGCTGAGGCACAGAAGTGTTTGTCTAAAGCCCCAGGTTATGTGTGTAAGAAGAACTGAAAATATCTGCTTTAAAAGCAATTACATCTTTAATCCTTATTGCCATAGAAACACAAAAACTTGACCTGAACATAGCAGATGGGTAGGGATGCAGAAGGCCTGAAAATACAGCTTCAGAAAATATGATCTGTCCTATTCCTCTTAATGTAAAACCTTCTGGTACCACATTGCATAAAGAAATACCAGGTAAAGAGCCAAAAAAAAAGTACAACTGTAAGGTTCTCGATGATTATGCTTAAGGCATCGAATTGCCTTAAATTGGGTTCAGTACAAGGCAA